ACAGCAGATTGTTTGAGTTTATGGGCTGAAGGAGATCAATCTACAATATGATATGCGGCTAATCAGTTTCTTGCAAGGTAGTGTTTCACAGTGTAAGAATCTATAGTCTGCCCCGACCCAGATTCCACTCCAATTGCAATATATGTTTGATCATGCTCATTTCCCAAAATGGGAGACAAAGGGGTGTCAGAACTTAATTAACATACAGACTACAGCTGTTACAACAGGTGCAACTTCATTTACATTAAGGGTAGTAAACTGTATAAAAGGTTTGAGCAATAAACATCATCACTTTTTCTTACAACAGATTAGAGTGAAGGGTGTTCGCCACCGTATTGCCTCAAGAGTCCTTCATTTACATTAAGGGTAGTAAACTGTAACTGTATAAAAGGTTTGAGCAATAAACATCATCACTTTTTCTTACAACAGATTAGAGTGAAGGGTGTTCGCCACCGTATTGCCTCAAGAGTTCAAAGACTCATACCAAACAATTTACTGAATAATTAAAACATATAGAGGTTTGAGGTGTCATATGACAATGTTGTCATATGTTAACCCACAGGTCAGGTCAGTGAGAAGCTACACCAAATACTGTGACTGCTTGAGAGACCAAGGGCCACAGATAAGCAAAACAATGGCATGGAGGAAGAATTTGTTAAGATGCCAACTTGAGACAGGTGGTTCTAAACTCCAAGGTCCCCCAGTGTTGTATATTCATTATAAAAATGCCCATGGAGTTTTAAGTACAAGTTAGCACATTTACAATACAACATTTCACCCAATTACAACTTAAATGGGCTGATTGAAATAATAAAGTCCTAATACGGTGACCTTGAATTTTATATTTTTGACTTCAACCACATCAGTGACATTCAGCAAATTAATGCTAATGAAATCTGAATGAAATGTAATATTGCCTCAAGAGTTCAAAGACTCATACCAAACAATTTACTGAATAATTAAAACATATAGAGGTTTGAGGTGTCATATGACAATGTTGTCATATGTTAACCCACAGGTCAGGTCAGTGAGAAGCTACACCAAATACTGTGACTGCTTGAGAGACCAAGGGCCACAGATAAGCAAAACAATGGCATGGAGGGAGGAGGAAGAGTTGGCATGGAGGAAGAATTTGTTAAGATGCCAACTTGAGACAGGTGGTTCTAAACTCCAAGGTCCCCCAGTGTTGTATATTCATTATAAAAATGCCCATGGAGTTTTAAGTACAAGTTAGCACATTTACAATACAACATTTCACCCAATTACAACTTAAATGGGCTGATTGAAATAATAAAGTCCTAATACGGTGACCTTGAATTTTATATTTTTGACTTCAACCACATCAGTGACATTCAGCAAATTAATGCTAATGAAATCTGAATGAAATGTAAATTTGTAATGCTTGATCATGATCCAAAATGATTTGTAGGTACTCTCTATTAAAATATGCACACACAAACACACTTCGGAAAAAAGCACAATTACTTTTGATTCATTTATTTACAAACAATACAAAATAGAAATCTGAATCAAGCTTGCTGCAGAATCACGTTCATATTCCACTCTAAATGGAAAAAAAGTAATAGTGAACCAAAATCAGAAATTTGAACAAGTCAAAGCAATTTGTAAAAATTCTAAGGTTAATAAAAACCAACCGCTGGGTCTTTATTTCCGATGTGATTTCTTAGATGCCGCAGCCTCTCTACGTCCTTGTTTTAAACCCTGTAAACGAGACAAGAGTTTAAGTTGAGTTTAGGTTGAAGAAAAAAAACAAAACCAGGTGCACAAGACAACACTTGTGAATGGCAAGAAGTAACACAGTAAAACTGTACCAAATAGTATCCCGTGTGATAGCCACTCATGTACCAGGAAATAAGCATACTGCCCAAAGCCTCATCATCCTCTAAAGAGTCTGGACTCATTGGTGGAGGTGGTGGGATCATCTGAGCCAACAATAAATTCATATTTTAGTTAATTTTCCTCATAAAAGCTGTATGTTTATAAATGCCTTTATTAGATCACTTTTCATGTAAGAACAGGTTTAGAAATTTCCAGCTGCTTCTTACTGGAGGACCGGGTGGAATCATTGGAGGCCATCCAGGGAAGAAAGGTCCAGGACCTTCTGATCGTCTGCCATCCATCTGGAGAGAACATAGTCTTAGTATTTGGTGTGGTGCAATATAAAAACAACTTATCTGACAAGCTAGCGAATCGCTTTGCAATGTGAATACTGCCTTTCAAAACGAGAAAAGACAGCGCCACAGAGATGTTAAATATTCACCTTTTGGAAGTGGGGTCCTGGTGGGGGTCCAGGTGGGAAGCCAGGAACCCATGATGGAGGCCCCATGGGAGATCTGCCTTTAGATTTGTGCTTCTGATGGCCGGACTGCTGCGGAGTGAAAGATCGTTCGCTCTCCTCTGTTGAAGACCCAACCTCTTTGACCTGCAATTAGACAAATGAACAGCAATATTATACAACTGCATTATTAAAGAAATGGTTCACCCAAAAATGAAAATTTGCTGATTTACTCCCCTTCAGGCCATCCAAGATGTAGAGCAATGCGTTTCTTTATCAAAACAGATTTGGAGAAATAAACATTACTTGCTCATCAATGGATCCTCTGGGTGCCGTCAAAATGAGAGTCTAAATGGGTGATTAAAACACCACAATAATCCACAACATGACTTCAGTCCATCAATTAACATCTTAAGTGAAAAGCTGTACGCTTGTAATAACTACAGTGAAAAAAGTGTGTCACCTGAATCAGGAGAGAAATACAATAAAACAATTCTAAACAATTATGTTGGTAGATTTTGTTGTAAAAGAGGAACAGGAGATTTCGGTTTTCTCTTATCACAGATTTTCCTCTTTTTCACTGGAAGAAGCAGTACTATGGATTATGTATTTGGCCAGAGATGATGGTTTGAAGTTAACACCTAACTGATGAATTTGTTTCTTACAAACATGCAGCTTTTCACTTAAGATGTTAATTGATGGACTTGATGAACAATTGATAAATTACTGATGTTTTTATCAGTTGTTTGGACTCATTCTGACGGCACCCATTCACTGCAGAGGATCCACTGGTGAGCAAGTGATGTAATAGTAAATTTCTCCAAATCCCTTCCAATGAAGAGAAAAAATCATCTACATGTTGGATGGCCTGCGAGTAGGTAATTTCAGCACATTTTCATGTGTGTGAACTATTCCTTAAACCCCTCAAATGACTAATTAAAAGCAGTGTCACATTCTACATACATCCGCCGATTTCTGAGTGTCTTCATCCAAATCTGAAGCCTCTGTCAGAAGGTCACTGAGGTTCTGCTCTTCCTCATTACCATAATCAGTATAAACGACCACACAGGTGCCTTTCTCCTGATCGATTGAGGAAATCGTAGCAGCATACAAGTTCAGCTTTTCACTTAAGATGTTAATTGATGGACTTGATGAACAATTGATAAATTACTGATGTTTTTATCAGTTGTTTGGACTCATTCTGACGGCACCCATTCACTGCAGAGGATCCACTGGTGAGCAAGTGATGTAATAGTAAATTTCTCCAAATCCCTTCCAATGAAGAAACAAAATCATCTACATGTTGGATGGCCTGCGAGTAGGTAATTTCAGCACATTTTCATTTGTGTGTGAACTATTCCTTAAACCCCTCAAATGACTAATTAAAAGCAGTGTCACATTCTACATACATCCGCCGATTTCTGAGTGTCTTCATCCAAATCTGAAGCCTCGGTCAGAAGGTCACTGAGGTTCTGCTCTTCCTCATTACCATAATCAGTATAAACGACCACACAGGTGCCTTTCTCCTGATAGGTAATTTCAGCACATTTTCATGTGTGTGAACTATTCCTTAAACCCCTCAAATGACTAATTAAAAGCAGTGTCACATTCTACATACATCCGCCGATTTCTGAGTGTCTTCATCCAAATCTGAAGCCTCTGTCAGAAGGTCACTGAGGTTCTGCTCTTCCTCATTACCATAATCAGTATAAACGACCACACAGGTGCCTTTCTCCTGATCGATTGAGGAAATCGTAGCAGCATACAAGTTGCCATCTTCAGACCAGAATGTGTAACAGGAGTCCCCAACTTGCCACTATAAAACGCATTTCAGTTCATCTGCATCGGCCAGCATTATTTGCATAGTCCAAATCAACTCAAGTACTGACACCATTCATGTTTACCTCTTTATCAGGTGCTGCGTTACATCTTTTTCTGCTATTACTCTTTTTCCGCTTCTTCACAGGGTTGTCTTTTTTGTGTGGAGTCACATTGTCCTCTCCTTTCAATGCATTCTGGTGGGTAAAGCAGGAGGAGAGAAAAACAACATCAGGGTTACTGTAGAAGCAAAGTAAACTGCAATGCATCAACTGTATGGTCGCATCTTTTTAAAGCATATTACCTTGAACGACGCAACCGCTTTATCATATGCTTTAATTAAAGCTGTATCGTCCCAAATGTCAGAATCATCACTCTGAAGAGAGGGAAGAGATCATTGACCACTGAACTCTGCTGAATGATTTATGCTACATATTTCTCAGACGTTGTTACTCCAACTGACTTTAAAACCAAAACCACAAAGCAAAATAATCACAATATATATATATATATATATATATATATATATATATATCTATGGTTTCAGAAGTTCGATTGCTACCGAGAACCGTTAACAAATAAAATATTCTGTAAATAAAATATACTGTATAAGTGTTTTATTACTTCATAGTAATATATAAACACGAAACGTGTTCAGTTGTTCGTGTAAATTAATGCGATAGTACATTTCTAAATTACTTCATGTTTCAGAACTAATCACGGCTGCAACAAACGAGGATACACGAAATTAATAAACAGACACGCATATCGCAGATGTCAGGGATAACGGGATAATGCGATGAACACGAAGCAAACAACGTTATGTCATTAAAAAAAGAGTATTAAGAACCGGTTCTTTGACTGTTCAAATGAACCGAACCGACTGTTCAAATGAACCGATTCGCGGAAATGAGTCGGCTGCGACACATCGGGCTTACCTGTTGCTTAGCAACTCGTGAAAATTCCTGCCTCTGGCATATTTCTGCATGTAAATATCTAACATCCACAATGCTGGACGCTGCTTTAAGTTCATACGGAGCACAGGTCGTGCTGGCTACATCGAGCGATGAGAATCACCCACCGGAGAACATTATCGACGGGTCTGTAGATTGCTAAAAGCTAGAAGAAGAGCCAGCTAACCTAGCTAATGTTGTCAAAACACTAAACAAATGTGTTTAGCTGTAACTGATGTATTTATTTATTAATTTCTATAGAAAAACAGAGACTTTCTGGATTTCAACTGGCATGTTTCCACAAGAGTTTATTATCCGCTTCCCGGACAACATGAAGATTTCCACGGTCTCCATTCACAGTTTCAACAGTAAGTAAAAAACACAAGCATCTTTATGCAACGCTGTCAGTCTTTAATATGGTAATGTCTTTACATTCACATTTCATTTCAGTCAAAAGGCTGAGAATAGAAAAAGGCACATCAGACGATGCTGAACAATTTGAAGCGGTTGCAGACACCGGTAAGTGAAACTACTATATTAATTATTGTCCATTCACTGAACATTTGAGTGTCTTTCACGTGAATATTGTTTGTTTCAGAGTTTGAGCACACAGAGAGCAGCCTACAGGCTAATGATATTTCTGTGAGTTACATTTCAAAGATACGACTCTTAACATGTCAAAGATAAGACCAAGATCTCACTTTTTCCCTTTCTTTTCTCTTCAGGTAAATGTATTAAACACAACACACTTACGGTTTCTCATACTGTCTGGATATGATCATTTTGTCTCTGTTCACAAAGTTAGTGTACAGTCATGAGATGATCTCCATCTGCCATGCCTTTTTGTAAACTCACATGGAGTAACCAAAGTGGATCACTGTATAGTTTTCTTAACAAATAAACATTCTCCTAATTTCTAAGTCTCCCCCAGTGTTGTTAACTAAAATTAAAACTAAATATATTAAAAGTAAAAAAATAAAACAGAAATATTACTCAAATTAGAAATGTTACCCTGGCAGCTAATTGAAATAAAACAAGTACACATTTACTAAAACCATAACAAATGAAAAAGCAAAACAGAAACATTTAAGAACAAAAATACAAATAAAATACTAAAACCTAAACTAAAATGACAATGGTCTAACAAATGATATGGTTTTGTTGAAATTTTGTTTAATAGTAGTGATGCATATAAATGAGCAATACCTTTGACTCTGAAATATTGACAGTGTGGATTGAATCATGGAAACAAATTGCTAGCCAGTTTGTCCCACATGAGGAATTTGATGAAGCTCTAAGGTGTAACAGTGGCAAATGGAAGTTTGGAAGTTAAAGTGTTCTTGGTATTTGAGTAATGCATTCATAGAAGCACATATTCATAACACTACAGGTATGCTTACAATGATTCTTCCTTTTAAAAATGTAGAAAACTTCAGATGTTTACTTTTATGTTCTTACACCAAATAATATTTTGTGATGAGTTACTGTCCAGAGGTGTAAAGTATTGGAGTAAATGTAATAAGTTATTGTACTCGAGTATCTTTTTGGATACTTTGTAGTTGTACTGAGAATCGAAGATATTAGCAACTTTTACTCTCTAACTCGCTACATTTTTGAACGAGTATCTGTACTCTTTACTCCACTACATCTTTACACCTAGCTTTTTCTGCAGCAGTTTATTTCTGCTACAAAATACGTGATACTGCCTATTACAGGTCACTGAAAGTACTGTGTTTTGCTCGTACTCACCCAAACTTGTCAACAAGGCTACTTTATGTGAATGTGAGTTCCTTAGCAAGTATTTGTGTATCAGCGGTGTTTTATTTATGAGATTAGGACATGAGGAAATGTAATTTTACTTAACATTATTTTATTTATCGATTACACTGAAGAGACCTTTTTGAAGGATATTGTTTTTTTGTTATGTAATTTTGAGGTGGTTCGTTTTATTTTGGTTTTAGAAAATAAACGTGATTGCTCTCCTCACAAATCAACTCTTTCTTGTTTTTGTTTCATGCTCTCTGTGCCTTGCCCTGGATGTGTGTCACTTCCTGTCTCCCGTGGTGTTTGTAGTCAGTTTGTAGTCTGTTTGTTCATTGGTTCCCCTTGATTAGTCTCCCCAGGTGTGTCTTATCTTGTTAGCCCCCTGTGTGTATATATAGCCTTAGTTTTTCTTTAGTTCCTTGTGAGTTGTCGTATCTAATGGTTGTCTGTTTGCCAGTCATTCTGTTCTTTGTTCCCTTTGGTTTTTGGCTTGTTTGTTCTAGTTTTTCCATCAAATACCAGCACATAAATCCTTGCCTCGATCATTTTCCCCAACTTCTCCACAACATTACAGTTTTTCACTGGCACGTCTCTTTGACTAGTACATTTTTGAGCCTATATTTAGTATAAGTAAAATACTTAAGTACTGTTAAAATCAGATACTCTAAGACTTT